CCACCACCTCCGCTACCGCCGCCTCCATATCCACCACCTCCGCTGCCACCACCTCCACTGCCACCACCTCCATATCCACCACCTCCGCTACCACCACCTCCGCTACCGCCACCTCCGTATCCACCTCCTCCGCTGCTGCCACTTCCGTATCCACCTCCGCAACCAGCATTTCCACAACCACCGCCTCCTAATCCTCCACCGTGACCACCGCTACCGCCTAATCCGCCACCGTGACCACCGCCACCTCCCAATCCACCACCATATCCTCCAGCGTTGGCATTAGCACTAGATATAGCTGATGATTTTGCACCTCCACCTGCACCTGCACTTGCACTGGCTTGTGCACTTGAGCTTGCAAAACCATTCCCAAATGCATTCGCGTTGGCAGAGCTGCTAGCTAAACTGTGTGCACCAGAACCTCCACCGTACCCAGCACCTCTCTTTTCACGAAGATAAATTACCTTCTTCGCGTAAGGAAGAAATGATTCTGTTGACAGAGATTTAAAAAATATGTCGGAGGTTAATAATAGGTCCATAAACTTAATTACATTTGAAAAGGCAATTCATTTTGTTCAGTTTAGTAATATGTATTTTAGTATTTTAATTATTACACTTAAAATAAAATGTTTAGCTTGTAAGATATATTTTATTCTCTTATATGGTTATATCATCTTTAATAAATTAATGCAAAATGGTGTAGCATGATGTAAGATTTTAATTATCATATTCATTGAGTCAAATTATGCGAAAAAAATACAATGAGAGGAAAAATATTGAAATAAATCACGTAAGTATTTTAAATGTATAAAGAGTAAAAACAAGAGATCGATAATTTATGAATCAATGTATGTATACATATCTATTTTTTTTATATTTTAAATGAATAAATAAAAAGGCAGACGAATCCAATAGGAATTTCCGTCCGTCTTTATTTACATTCGCAGGACACTGCGATTATCAAGGATCGTAACGAGGTAAAAATATAAAATTAAATTCACGAGTCTTACATCATACCTGTTTCTTTCGTCTTTGCTTTACATCTTAAGTTAGTGGTAATGTCTGAAATTAGCATTTTTATTTATTTATTCAAATAAGAATTCCAATAACCGCAATAAGATAAAAACGGAAAATACCGAAACCAAGGTCAAGTATGTCACTGCTTTAAAGTTACAGCGCCTATTATGAGATACAGACGTGTTCAATCATCGTGAGATTATATCTATAAAAGCGATTAGAGACAGGATAATAATTTCCAAAGTTATTTACCGTTAACTGTCCTATAATCAATAAATTACAAATAGATGATTAATAGATAAGCTGTTCATTTTTTTTTTTAGTATTGAAGGAACGCTTCCAATCTAGAAATGATTATTTATTGTTTATTTTTTATTAATATAATACTTAAAAGAATTATGGTATTCAATCGATTATAATTCACGATTTGTATAGTTTTCTCTTTCAAATTTTATTAAGATAATTTTCAATTTTAATTGTTCTTTTTCTTTTCTATATAATCATTCTCTTTGAAAAGATACATTACCTCAGAAGAAGGAATACTTTATTGTTTGAATAGTTTTATTTAAATTTTACTATAAGGTGTATTTTTAATTATATTTTTCTTTTCTTCTCTATATTAATGATTTTCTTTAAAAAATACATTATTTCGAAGTAAGGCATATGTTACATATATTATTTAAAGAAAAATGAAGAGAAAGAAAAAATGTTCTTACCTTCGGCATGAACAGATACTAGGATTGCTAGTGAGGCCAGAAGGCCGATAACTCGATGCTTCCACATGATGAAACCGGCTTCTATCTTCGCAGAGTACGGACGCGTCTTTATATCCAATCTCCCACTCTTTTATCTTTCTTCCTGAAATACCATCGTTCCATCGAATGTATAGTATACATATGATAGAAAAGTAATAAGGGCAAAAAACAAGTGTCGGACGTATGTCCAAGGCTGAGGTGATCTTCGATGGGTATGTAATTCATCTAACCGGTAATTTAATCGTTCCTATATTTTTTTATTTCCTTAAAGCTTCAAGCACATTTGACGTCATTGAACTTAAAAATTTCTCTACGTAATCCTATTGATAACAAGTAAATAAATTAGAAATTTTGTATTAAAGGATCATTATAGAAATTTTTAGTGATTGTTAATTTTCACTGATATAAAGGTTTGTTTTATAAGGATAATATCAAGGTTCGTACATTTAATCTTTGATACGGATATAAGTTTTATACAAAATTTTATAATATTATACATATAGAAAAAATACGTATTCACGTATATATAGGAAGTCATAAAGGTCACGGACTAAAAAATTAGAAGTTGGTTTTGGGCAAGTATTTGGAGTAACGCCATCGTGGATTCATACTTTTTTAATAACATTGTAACGGGAGATTTACAGCTTGAAATGAAAAACAAAATGTTATAATTCTATTAATAAATCATTATTGCTTTTTTGTTTTATTTTTCTTTTTTCGGTATAGCGAAAACTTTTGGACATCATATATGCAGCCTGGGTTCACCATCTATTAGCATCTAAATATTTTCATTATTTGTTATAATATAGAAAAATGTTTTATACAAAATTTATATGGCATGAAGAGGTACATAAGGTAGTGTCAATATTTTTTGCGTGGGTAGAAGCGTATAGAACTTCTTAAGGCCACCTTGACTTTTTAGATGGATCCATGTTTTTTTTTCTATAGGATGATAGTGAGACATGTCGGAGTATAACGACATATGACTCAAGGTCATACAAGGTCATCTAAGGCAGCATTGCATTAATGCAAACAGCCATATTTTCGAATTTTCGTCGTAAATTAAAACCTTAATAATGTTAGAAATTCGGAAATTATACTTGTTATTTATTTTGTAAATATAGATCTGATATTGTATGACCTTGAGTAATATGTCGTTGTACTCCGACATGCCTCACTATCACCCTATAGAAAAAAAATATATGGATCCATTTAAAAAAATCAAGGTGACCTTAAAAAGTTCTATACGCCTCTACCCACGCAGAAAATATTTACACTACCTTATGTACTTCTTGATGCCATATAAATTTTGTATAAAACATTTTTTTATATTATAACAAATAATGAAAATATTTAGATACTAATAGTTGGTGGATAAACCTGTATATATATATATATATATATATATCTATATGTATGTATTTATAATAATAAGTATAATAATAATAAATTACTATTATTGTAATTTAATATATTAAATAGAATAAAAAACTGTATATAGTTGTTCCGGTCAATAAATTTGCTATATTCATGCAAAATCATTCATATCGTATTATAAAATCTGGAAAATACGCGTAACGTCAACATAATTAAAAGAATACCGAAAGTAAAATTTCACATTTTTCAAGCTGCAATTATCAAATGGAATTATTTCAGTATTTTAGATAAAGGAAATTTTTTTCGAAAAAAAGAAAAATTTGATTCGTAGAATATTCGTAAAATCCTCTCGATTATCATATCGTAGAGTATAGAAAGTGTTATTTATAATCCTAATCCACAATCTATCTAAAAGAATTGCTGATAACCCCTTGCTTGATACGTTGAACATTAACCGATATTCAATAGATTTGCATTAAGATAAATTGAATAGTAAATTAGTACATTTTGCATAACAAAAAGGATGTGAAATATTACGAAATCGTTATTCAAAGGTATTCTATATTTTAAACAAATGTTTCTTTCAGTGAAAAGTTTCCTAATGATTACACATTACCTACCTTAATCGATGCATTATAGTATAAATAATCCACTGTATTCACACGTTATTTTAATTGCGTGATCGTATATCTTCATTTATCATAGATCGTCGAACATAATTAAATGATCGTATTGACTGATATCGCAGAAACAATTATCCATTACCTGAATTGAGATAGAAAATATTTTTTATTGGTAAAATTTACATCTGCACGGGTTTTTCCATGTTCTGTTGAATATAAAGCGGAACATGTACTATCTTGCTTAGTAATTAATACTTTCCGAGTAGATGGTAATTATCACGTAATTGAATATTTATGGCAGTTTTTCTCTATATAGATCTGTATTTATCTATTTAATTTTATGCAATATATGTGTGCAATAACAATAACAATAAAATATGTAAGCATTCGCGAAAGCAAAAAATTACATTATATTTATATAGATTTTAAATAACTTAATTCGAAAAACCTATTAATATTATGTTGTTATATCTTAGGATGCATAAATACACAACGATACAGGAATTAAGTCTTTCTCACGATTGTCACTGTAACGATTTACGTGCACACAAACTAAATAGACTACAAAACGAGCAATGGTAATTAAAATTTTTTATATTAAGAACAATAGGAAACCATTTCCGTTTAGACTTTTTTTAATCCTTCTTAATGTTATATCTTTTTTCAAAATACATCATTTTATCAAAATAGGTGATTATCAACTGAAAGGACAACAAATATGTAATTGGTCTATAAGATTTATTATATTATATGGCTGCAATAGTACATATCAGTATTGGTCGCACGAATATCTATGTTATTTGATTATTCGTAAAAGATATATTGTTTGATTTAGATATTATAAGACAAATCATTTTATCCAGCGAATCATAAATATACGAATATAACATCATCATGTGAAATCGTAAAAATAAATTACACGCATGTTTCATGGAATATAATTAAATATAAAAACGCCAAGATTGTAAAATCTTTAATATTAAATAACTGATTTTCATTGTAGCTTTCAATCACGTTAATTGCATTATTTAAGAAATAGTAAACATCTTAATACTTAGCAAAATTATTGTCTTTTCAAAAATATCAATAACTTATATTATCAGTAGACTAGCCTATAGAAAAGGTCCAATATAATTGTTAATATGTATAATTTGTCAATGCTAATATCAGAACTTCATTACGATATTTTAACGAATATTAGAAAACCTTAATAAAAATGCATTTCCTAAAGAGTATGTATTCAATTTTGGCATATATTACTTCTACAAGATGAACCAAAATTTATAATACTAATGGGGACAAAGATACTAATGGCTTAAAATAAGACGAAAATCAAGAATATTGAAATAGTACGAGAGACTGTTTTCGAGTAAATTGTAATCGAAAATCAATCTATATACTAACAGTTGATACACTACATTCATTTCGTTAAGTTAAGAGCCTTATTTTCAATTTTATTAGAGATAATTTATATAAAAAATAAACAGTGCCTGACATTGTATCCTGTACAAGGATAGTTCTATAGTAAAATTCGTATTACTGGTCAAAGTTATCAAAAATGTTTAAATACATGTTTATTTAAAATGAAGCCTTTCGTTATTCCTGATTTGTTTCTTGTTTTGAGCCATAGAATCTTCCTAAGTTCATTTGCATAATGAAGTTAGGCTCATCCTGTATGTGTACATATCCGCACATACCATATAAAACTATATTTTTTTTTAGTAACTGATTTTTTAACAATTATATTTAGCTGCTATATAATACTCACATAAATTGTAATTATCACACTTACGAAGGGAACATTTTTAACATAATAAAAATGCTCACGTATAATAACACTATATTTGTGATATTATATTATGAATTTATTTGCATGTCATTAATAAAGGCAACCTCTATAAAGATAATAATAATAAGAAATTATATATAAATGAGACAATTTTTTTGAATTATCTAATATCAATATATCTTATTTCTTTCTCTCGTTAAGATACTACATAATATATTTATTGATTTTTATTATTGTACAATTTACCTGCTTAATTTCGATACTTTTTTGAATATTATTGCGATTGAAATGTTTGAGTAAGGCAGTAATATTTGATTTTGTTATTCTATATATAAGTAATTATTACTTTTATATATTATTTTACTAGAAGTTTATTTAATTATACGTCGTTAATAATTTTTACTATTTTGCAATACTTCAACAATAAAGCAACGAATAAAATTAAATATAAATTTTCAAAGTTATTAATCGTCTTCCCCCCCCTCCCCCCAATGGAAATAAAGAGAATGTAATGTATTTAAAATGAATATTCTGATCTTTCCTCCATTATACACACTAAAAACAAAATTAAATGCTGTTCTTGTATTCGTTAACACTATCATCAACAAAGATAGGTCATAAACGAAAAATAATATTTAACATTCTTCTTTTTTTCGTTTAGATTGTATATTTAGCTCTGTTCTGTCGCGCTTCTAATTACAACCATCCATCTAAAATAAAAATGAATGGCATAAGATGTTAATTGAAATAAAATTTTTTAATGAAAAACGTTGAAATAACTTACCGTCCAAATGTATAATCACTTTCAGCTCTAAAGAAATATACGTGACTTTTAAATTGAAGCTTAAATACAAAATCCTTGTTTATACCATCTATTTCCGACGGAGTCGATACTGTATATCCCAATAAAGGCAAGCTTGCTAATGGGAAATCATCTTGGTGTGATTTATAGAAAAATAAGCAGAAGCTAGTAAACACTACCCATAACTTTTGCCAACCATTACTGTTCTTGAATTTCCGTAATAGAAATCCACTAAGCTGGTTCTACAATAAAAATATTCACAAATTATCTGGAACTCGAGTTGAGTTTATTGTATTTTAAAAAGATTTATATAACTGAGTAAGTGAATTTGAGTTTACCTGAAATGCACGTAATTGGTCAACGTAGCTAATACTAGTACTTCGATGCCAACACACATGAACGGTCGTGTTACTGCGTTGCGAAGCTTTTGCACCTCCGCAACTTGCTCTATCTGCTTCTAATCCCACATTGTCTCCGACTTCGTCGGTAGAACCTGCTAATAATTGAACGATCGAAACATTTCATTTCAGTATTAGTAGAATTAATCCATTAGAAATAATTGTCATCATGACTTAATAGCTTACATGATTTTAAACTCAAATACGGTAGCTTCGCATCTTGTGCATCAGCATGGGCAATAGTTATATTTAAATCTTCTATCCATCGTTCTTTATCTCCTTCGTTGTAAGCTGCTACTGTTAAGGATCTATTATAATAGATTATTTATAACGTATATATTTGAAGTTAAACAAGTAAAATATTATATTATATCCTCAGACTCGGGAATTTACAAATTTATAAGTGGAGATCTACAGGATTAGGTTTAATAAAAGATAAGCATTGAATATTTGAGAAAAACCAATAAAAGAACCTATTGGAAAAATCCATAGAATTAAGATAAGACTCGACAAGATCGAAAGCGTTACGTACGGTACGCTATAAAAACTTGAGACGATATACAGAATGGACTATTTAATTCTTTTACTCAAACAATTTAAAAAATAAATTTCGAAACAATAGTTGCAGTAAAAGTTTTGGTTCAAATGAAAGAGTTTAGTGATTTACCTTCTGTATTAATGTGTGTATATATATGTGTAGATAATTTTATTAATAAAAACTTACTGGTTATCATATCCACTAATTATAAACACATGATCGATACCAGTCTTATTGTCTCCTTCTTGAATTTTCATTCCTTTTACTGGAATTTGACCGTGCACACGAAAACATTGCGTTGGTTGCTGAGTGCGGAATGTATACAGTAATACGTCCGAGAACTATATGATAAAAAATAGGTCCTTTATATAAGTGAATTTTATAAAGCTGTGTATATTACAATTTGAATATAAATATATTTGTATATATAGATATTTACCAAGAAAAACATTCTTTGTTGGAAACCTTTTCGACTGTATTTTTGTAAACAGCCTTGTCTAATAAATCTTCTACCTTCTTGAAATAAATTATCAAAGTTACTAATATCTCTTTGCATTTCGCATAATTGAACTAAATTTTCCTATAATTTGTAAAAAATAATGTAGTAAAAAATATTTCATTAGTAATAAACAATCAAATAAAATATTCTTACTGCTTGGTTTATAACGGTAAGACCTTCGAGTAATGTCTCACTGAGTCTATCTCTAGCTGCTAAACAATCTTCAAAATCAGTATGATCTTTTGGATAATGATCTAATAATACTGTTAAAAAATATATCATAAATATAAATGTATATTTAGGAAAGTCATAATAAATAATTCATAAAGAAAACAAATAAATAATACGTTACTATCAATAATATTGTTGTAATGTAATAACCGTTGCAACGGTTTCAAAAGAAACGACGTTAACGGTAAATAACAATGTTTCTGCGACTCGAAATCCCTGCAGAGTTGATCAAAGCGTCGTGATGTTCGCATTGAATACTCCATTTTCTCAAGCACGGAGATTAAATTTTCAAGATATTGATCGTAAAGAGGTAGGACGTTAAGAAGCGTATTGTATAAAAAATCTCCAATATTATGGCGCGCGTTGCTCTCCCATCGTGCTAGACGTGCTTCCATTTCTTGAAGACACGGACCATGGGCATCTGCTAATAACTCTATCAACGAAACAACTACGTCTCCTTCTAACTCTGCTTCTCTGGATACTTCTTCTCTGAACCACTAAAACAAAAGTAGAAAAAAAGAGGAAAAATATTATAAATTCTATAATAGAATTGTTATTATTTTTATCGCATTGTTTTATAAATATTTACCACATTGATAACGTCCAAATCCTTTTTGTACGTTCGTTCTGTCATAAGAAGCTCTTTGGCGATATAATAAACTTTATCGGTCGGCCATCTCTGTAAAAAAAAAAAAAAAAAAAAAAGAACAGTTCATTAATAATAGAAAAATTAATATAATGTAATATATAATAAATTATTATTTTTAGAAATAGCGTACTTTCGTTTTTCGAACTTCTGTATCTTCAATCTCTCCGTTTCGTAAATTTTTTACCGGACTGAGATCAGGCGAATTAACCACGCTGGCATTGTTCATTTCAGCTACACCATTAGTTCGTTTCTCTTGCGATATTTCGGTCGTAAAGACCGAATTATTATTCTCCTGTCGTTGCTTAGATGATTCATCTTGTGCTTCCTCTTCGACATCTGTAAATAACGAACGGTAAGAAAAGAAAGAACGTAAGATTTATTTATAAAAAAAGATAGTACAATAAAAAAAGAACAAAAAGAAAGAGTATATGAGCGCATGAGGAATAAACGCGTAAGTAAAAAGTGATGTATTTATTAAATATTGCATGCTACGATGCACCCATTCGATCTTATCTTTTTCCCTAATTATCAACGCATCACCCCTTCTTTTATTGTGCTCGGGGAGAAGTATAGGGGGGTTTGTTATAAAAAGAACAAAAAATAATTAATAACGTGGAATTTATACGTGTAACATTTGGTAGGAAAGACTTATGAAACGTTTTTCTATTCTAAACAATTTATCACGTACACAAAATAACAAATATCAGTACGTGCAACTGCATATTTTATTTATGAAATTATAATGATCTTTACTGTAATTGTAAAATAATTATATCCAGCGTACGCATATATTCGTATACGTACACATACATATATGTTTACAAAAGAGAGAAGAGAATTTCATTTCAAAGTATTAAAGTGTCGAAAGTATGATCGTTGCACATTCAACCAAATCTACGGTGTGTGTGCTTTGATGTACAAATTGAGAATAACAAAATTTCCTTTATACTTCGTGCAATAATTTCTTATTAAGTACGGCATGCTTTTCTTATTAATTCCCATTGTCATATGAAACATGTGCTTTAAATAAATCAATGAGAAAGATCTTTCTTTTTTTTCCTATAAAGCAAACGTGGTCGTTTCTAAGGCAATAAAATTAACAAATATGTACGACGATAAATGTCCTATGCAAATAAAGCCATTCTATTGAAATTCTCAACAAATAATACTCGTCCACGAATTTACACTTGTGGTGCATATACGAAATTCCAAGGATTCTTCTATATATTTTGCCATTTTTTTTTTCCTCGAATTATTTTTCCACTTATTCTATGTATGTATATGTGCAAATATGTACACCACTTGTGAGATTTAAACTCGTGGAGCAGGAAAGAAAAATACAACCAGACGGAAGTGCATTTAGCAAGCGTATATTGTATATTGAATAAAAATGAAGATAAAAAGAATCAACAATCTTGACAGTTAAGATAGGCATTTTAGGGATTACTCACATATAGTATTGTCATCCGGTCGACCAACGAATCCGAGAGTGCGATAAAAAGATACGGATATAAAAAAATAATAGAAGGGAGGAAAAAAATCACGTACCCTGAAGGGAGTATACTAGTCACTAAAAAAACGTGGGTTTAAAGAATAGAATAGAATAGAATAGAATAGAATAGAATAAGTGGCTGGAAAAAGGTCCACGATAACGAGAACAATAATAATAATAATAATAATAATAATAACAAAAACAAGAAGAAGAAAAAGGAAATCTTTAAAAATTGTTACACTCAATGAAAATCTACCGAAAAATGAAAATAATATAAAAGCAACTAAAGCGAGACGAAATTACAAAGGCTTTTTAAGTGACTTTGTATATAATTTATTGTTATCATAATTAAGTATCAATAATCAATGTACAATAGACTTCCTACGCCTGGAATATCGCTTTTCCTCCGTTCTAACGCCATGATTCCCCTCTTTCTTGTTCTTTTTTATTTTATTTATTTATTTATTTTTCCTTTCGAAGAAATATCAGCAGAATAATGTGGACAGCCATCGTAGCTAGTCTATAAATATCCATGCCAAGGGGAACCACTGCGGATAGCAGGTTTATGTAAGTGTAATTGTATGTATGTATGTATGTGTATGTGTGCGCGCGCGTGCATGTAGAGTTAACAAGTACGGTATATCGATAAACGTTTTGAAAAAATTACATAAAGAACAGACGAGGGAGCATTGAATCGACACGACGAACACTCGTCCCACGATAAACTTTTCTCTCCTTTTCTCCTATTAATACCTTCAATTTTCGATCGCTCATAACGAAAAGAAAAAAAACAACCAATCCCTTAACGAGACGAAAACGATTTCATTTCTTTTATTGTGTTCTTAATTGAAATGTATTACGACAGTCATAGGTATCAACGAACGCTCTTAATAATTCGAATTTTTTGACTTATCATATTTTTTACGTTCGTTCGTTCGTTCGTGTTACTTTTTTGAAGGACATTTGCAAAAGAAATATCACGACGATATGATAAATCTTTAGTGGGAACGATATTCATCCCCGTCGAATCTGTTTGCGTACATGTTTTTTTTTCTCTTTTCTTTTCTTTTCTTTTTCCATCGGATAAGATTAATTTTGGAACATCTAACGAATAAATTGGCTATATAAAGCGTAAAAATAATTCAGTCGTTTAATATGATACTTCATATTGTTTGAGTATCGAAACCCAAGCGAAAGATTGACTATCAAAAATTTGGCACATGTTTATAATAATCGGGAATGTACGAGCGAAGAAACGATAAAAATAACACCTATTAATCAATCGTTACAGGCATGTTATTTATATTTCAAGACAAACGTCTCTTGCAGTTATTTTCAAAAAAGTTTTCTTTTCCTTGTTTACGCTAAAAAAGATAAATAATAAAAGTTTTAATAAGTCGCAATAATGAGACAATATAGTCGTCTCGCTTAGTCATTAATAATAACAAAGTCATTATTATCCGTGATTCACATTGATTTACATATTTAACGACAAAGAGGTTGAACACCTGGAAGAAGGCCACATTAAATAGAAGATCAAAGAAGATTAATAAGAAAAGGCTGATTTTAGGATATGTGGTGTTTGCGTATATATGTGTCTTACACATATGCTGCAAAAATACTATGATATTACCCGTATGAAACACACGATCAAAGGGTGAGAGGGTGAGAGAGAAAGAGCGAAAGAGAGAAAGAGAGAGATAGAGAGAGAGAGAGTGAGGATGGGGAAGGAGGAAGAGAGGAACATAGAGCGAATGACACACGAATTTCTGTGTGTATTTATATAAACATGGTGTAGAGACATAAAAAAAGGTGGTAGGATATCATGACCGGTGGTAATAATAAATAGATTTACGAAATATCGTGAAAGGGGAACGCTACGCAATGATCATAAGGTACCTAAGAGTAGAACGGCAGATAATTGATAATTGACATGTGTATAATACGAGTGTGTATGATGCAGGAAAGATTAGTACCACACTGCAATTAGAGATGTGAGTTTAATCAATTTATCGAGAAACACAAAAAACTCGACATTTAAATCATTTTCATAATTTCAATTTCTTCATTAAAATATCGTAGCTTAATTATTTATTCTAATCTCGCATTTAAATCTTGTTGCCCCTAGATATAAATTTTGTTTTGTGAAAAAACAATTACTACTTAATACAAAAAAAAAAAACAAATCGTTTACGTGTTTAGATTTTGTTCTCTCTGTTTATTTGATCTTTTACGTTATTTGTCATGATCATATTTGATACACACGTAGAACGATATTGAATAAGAGAAAACTCTTTTGTTAGAGCCAGTCGTGGCAATGATTTTTCAAAATTCACATCTCTACGCAACATCGGGAGATAGGATTGAACGGTACACTATGATGAGGCATAACGAAGTCTTTCGTGACACATGATTAAACTGTGATGGCTAAATAATTGTTGTAATAGTTTCATCCACTACAAAAGTTTAACTTAAAAGCTATATGAGACAACATAATTAATGAGATAACATAACGGAATACAAGGTAAACAAAGTGCGTAAGTGCTTGTGATTTAATGTTGAAGTGCTAAAGACAGGTTATTAACTGAACAAGCATAAAAAGTTTATTATTATTTTTTTTTTTTTTCAAAGAAATAACCTACTAAATCTGACGAACAAATCAAACGTTAATTCGATCTCTCAAGTAAGAATTTATTATATAAGAAATTACGAAAAATCTTTGATATATTTCTCTTTTCCATAAAAGTATGCTACGATTCGACGTTATTTTATTTTCTAGAAAAAAAGTTTGTTAATCTTGCAAACTAACATACCGCTAATTCTAATTCTAACATCCTACAGTGTGCAGTGCGAATGTAACAATAATAAGATAGCAACATCATAGAAATTTTGCATGTTTAATTCGTTTTCTTAAGTTTTCATTATTTTCTTCCAGCGTTCTTTTATATATTTATGTTTAACAATTTCTTTTTTCATCCATCCGTTAATATTTCATATCATTTTATCTATCGCTTTTTCCATTCTATATTGTGAATATGAGAATTACGATCGCGCTACTATAGCCATTAATGGCTAATTGTGATGTTTCTTACTAAATGTTTTTTTTTTCCTTTTTTTTTTCTATGAAAGAATAAACAAGTAATAAGGCATGTAGCAGCTAAGAAGAAAAAAAAATAGAAAAAGTAAAATGGCTAATGTAAGAGCAGCAGCAGCAGCGCAATAGCGTGATAAAAAATGGATTTTTAACCGCGAGTTGATTTGTTGAATCAACGAATTATAATATTATTAACATTTCATTTTTTTTTTATCTTTGACAAGTGTTCAAATAATCGTTGCGTCAACAAATCTTTTTAGCGGATTCCGTTCAATCCGATCTTCTTTGATACCACCTACAATGTGTATAATTGAATTGCATACGATTACAGTTTTTTTTTAAGTTTTCCAAAGAATTATGAGTTTTTAGTTAAACTATAATTATAATAAAAAGAAGAAAAAGAAGAAAAAAATTGAAGTTCAATCAGATAAACATTTCTTTTCTACACAAATTTCAATTCAAAAAGATCTGATTATTTTTTGATAATTAGTCGAATCCGACCTGCAGCGTGGTACGTCACTTTCGCATTTCGCAAGATTGGCCCCGTTTCTCGATTCTCAACGTGGGTAAACCGGAAGGAATCGATTGGTCAGGGAGCGAGGTGTCGCGTGAGCCAATACGTTACGTACTGGATTCACACGAAACGGCACATGCCATGCCGGAGAATTCACGAATCCGTTTGTGTAGCTCCACCGATTAATATCACCACCTGTCGAGAAGCATACGTAGAGTGTTGGTGTGGATGGCGTTAGGATTTCTATTTTTACTTTGCAATATTTCGATATATCGAAACACATTCGACGTTTTTCTGATCATCGTCCCAAATAACATCAGTTTCTCACTTTATGTTCATTTCATGATTTTTTTTTTTTTTTTATATATAAAATGAAAATGTAACAAATGTCCTAGAATATGCAAATAGGGGATATAAACGTTCATTATCTACATAACTATGAAACGTATTGGAACTATGAAACAATAACAATAATAATAAAAAGTAACGATAATAATAATACAATAATAAGAGTATTGCGCGAGGTAATAAAAAATTATTCGAGTTTCTTATTTGTACACGATGTAGATTCTTTAACGATCGTAAACTATGTGGCGTTTTTCATTTGAACATTTTTTAACATTTCATATGTGCTGACACACATTTTTTAACGAAGAAAGATCTTTTAGATTATTGTTTATTGGTTTGACCGCGAGACGATTTCAAATCAGATTTGAAATTGATTTTGAAATGGTGCAGCAGCAGTCGGACAATTTGTCCAATTTGTTTAACGTCGTGTCGCACGCTTGAAACTGACTTTTAATTATTTTTTTGAAGAGTAATTTTGATCAGACGCGTTATATGAATATCTGTTAAGAGCAAGGGATCAAAAGGTACGAAAAAGAAAGTCACGAAAATCGGACAGATTGATTTAACTCGGGCTACGGTGAATATTTGGATAACCGTACGAGTAACCCATATTTTACGTTTTATCGTTTAATACCTTGATCCCTATTGCCAGGTATCACGAGACCTTTGCATACTAATTCTTATGACTAGATTAGATCATGTTTTATATGTATATGTGTGTACTTGTGTAATATAGTTAGTCGTTAGTAGTGAATACAGTGTTCAGTCAGTCGCTAATTGTCGATATTGCCGATCAACTTTCTCGTCGCATATCACGCTCTCGACGCTTTCGCGGCTACATCAAATATTTTCCCATTAATAATTTTTTTTTTTTTTTTTTGTTTATAATGAATAACAATTAATCTTCTTAAGTACGGTGTGCGTGAGTACACGGAATATACGCACACTCGCACGCGCACGTGTAAGAATCAACGAGGATACTGATAACCGAAAATTACGACACGAATTGTGCCTTTTAAATTATTTTACAAATACATTTGCAAGTGTCTTTTGATATTATTTTAAAATAAAAATAAGATAATAGTTGATGATATTTTCATTTAATAAGACAACTCTATTTTATTATTTACCGTCACGCAACGAAACATAGATAATGTATAGACTGATCAATTTTTCTGTTTAAAAAACAATCTTTCGAATCATACAATTAAAATTGTTGATATTTGAAATAAAGTTAATGTTCGTCAAAAGATCGTGCAAATAGGTTTGTACAATTATAAATATAGAAGACTTGGAGAAAAATCAATAAGAATAAAAATCAAACTTAATCATGATGAGTATAGTGAAAAAAAATAAAAAAAGGATTAATTATTGAACGAAAGTAAGATACGAGTGAATGTAGAAAGAAATAATTGAAGAATATGGATAATCGAAATGAATAAAAATGATAGATTGTAAAGAGTGCGTGAAAAACGCGTGCGTGTGTTGATAACGATGGGATGACAAATTGACGATGCACAAATGCAAGAACCAAAGTAACAGAATACGAGCAAGTATTTTAAAATGTATCCTACTGAAAAAATTAAAAAGATTAAAAAATTAATTAAAAACACAGGAAAATGTCGGATAAATTCAAAGACAATTTACAATACATGCTCGTTTCTGAACGAAAACGATAACAAGTCAACAAAAAAAAAATCGATACAGAGCCGAGGAATACGATGGTACTTTTAAAAGACTTTAGGAGAGATTGGGATTAAAAAACAAAAAAGTGAATATGTGCGAGGACAGTGCCGTTTCATTTTCTCGCAGTGCGAAAACGAATTTTATCATTTTATTCTTTAGGTGATTGATAATTATGGCGGAGATGGGAGGCGCTTAATTAAAAGTTTGCGATGATTATAATAAGTCAAAGGATAATCTGAAGTATGCATGCAACGAAATAAACAAATAAATCAGAAAAGACATATCTGCTTTTTAATGGGAAATTAGATTTATCGTCGATTTGTATATAGAACGATATCTTACAATCGTTCCTTTCGACGATAACTAGTTGTCCCAAAGTTCTCGTTTCGATCTTGTGCGTATATAAATCTGCATCACAATCTATATCTCTCTCTATTCGAATATGAACAGAACATTATTTTTTTCGACAATAACGGTAACACAAATCACAAATCAATATATTATAAATTTGTTATTATCTAGATTTTTAATGGAAATATGTATATTTTGATATATAAAAACAAAGTTTTTTGTTTTTTTTTAAAATAATAACTAAAAGTTTGATGTGAATCGACATATATATTTATCTACATCCTTCAAACGACGTTGAAAAATCTATAAATCGATGATACGTCAGCAGTATTTATTTTGTCCCTTAAAGAAGACGACAAAGGATTGTTTTTTTTTCTCTTGCGTTATACTAATCGATATCGTTAATTAGTCGAAAAAAATAATGAAGTCTCCATCGTATATCGGCACTCAGCAGTCCCGTCCCGTACTATTATACATACATAATAACGCGTATGCGATACGTATTAACTTTCACTGTGTTCTACCATTAATAGTAACAATAATTGTGTATAGCCTTAATAGAGTAATAATGATTAATGACGGCAATAGTGATCGCGATAATAATTAATGATTATTAACGGTAACGTGATTATCAATGATCGTCCATACCTATAAATAGTACATATGATAAGGATTATTTAACGATAGCGCGAATCGCAAAAAACGAGTAAACATTCTGATAATAAAATTGTATATGTAAGGAACTAGATTGTTCGTATTCTGGCTTGATATCTAAAAGTGTTAAACTTGGTGAATGTTACTTCGTTGAAACGATCAACATTATTTTATTTGAAAAATCTTCGAGAACGATGCGTGATCGATCGTCATCGTTTTATCGTAATTATTATAATAATTTTTATACTCCCTTTTTCCGATTGACTCGGTTGTATGGTTACAGGGAGATTCGGAGTGAGTATTATTATTAGATTATCGCGAAACAGATGGTACTTTTACCTCAGGCGTTATTAAAAAAAAAAAAAAAAATAATAATAATACCTAAACAAAACGAGTCCCACCTATTAAGCTTAAATTAACGAAATCAATCGCGCGTATAAAAATAAATAAATTACAGCCTTGGATGCCTTTTGATCGCATTCTCCGTGCACGTTTCAATTGTCGCGCGTTCAGAAACCAGTCTATCGTACGAGCTACATTATTGCTTTTAATTCATTTATGTCTCTTTTTATTTATTTATTTGTATTTTTTTTTTTATATTTTATTTGTTTTTTTTTTATCTTGCACGACGGGCCACGCTTGTTCATTAATTCATTCCCATTCGACTTCTGTACCAAATTTTCTATTTCTGTGTGTTTCTTTTTCTTTTTTTTTTGAAATAAGAAACAATGAAATTGTAGAGGAGAGCTACGTGAAATACTGTTCAAACTTTCCGTGTCATTATTAAAGTGAAAACGTGACGAATATAGTATAAAAACTAGGCACGATGAAAGATGAAACAAATTTAAACGTGTTCTCTTCAAGTTTGTCGAAAATATACCTTTAACCCTTCTTCATTCATTTCTAAAGATTCGGTATTCATCATTCCAAAACTTTGCCCATATGTTTCTCATATATATATGCAAACCGACTATTTGAGCTCCTATGAACCATTCCACTGTCTGTCACCAATAATACGCTCTAAATTACAAGAGACAAATTCCACAAGACCTTTTAATTATCCTAATACGAATATTAAGGAAATAGTAATAAAAGTATACATTATTTATACATTGTTTTCTCGTAACCGAAGTAGAAAACAAGATCCGATATATCTACCCGGTTCAAATATTTTTGCCAGAGACACTCCCTGCGATGATTGTCGACCTCTAAAACTTAAAACGATAGAGAGTTAAATTGTCATTCTCTGACAACCAGGGACGAGCGTCTGAAGAAAAGATTAACCATCACCAACCAACTCTTGTATCCGTTTCATATAATAATTATATATACCCTTAAAGCCCTAAGTCCTGTTTTCATTTTTTTCATTTTTTATTTTGCATCTCTACTAATCTCATTTTTCTTCAACGTTATACAATACATGACTAGAATAGCATTGCGCGAGTATCGTTCCTTTAAATATATCACATATCCACCCCGCGATCACGAGTTATCACGTTTCTTATGGATATTAAATGCATACTACGAAATCACCTACAAATCGGCAACTCTAAGTATGATAATAAATATCAAAGTAAATCGGATCTCTAAAAATGTGTAACGATCATTTCATATACATATATATGAATATATATAATATATCTATACAGGTTGTCCGAAAAGTTAGGACCGAACTTATACTATCTATTACTAAGGTCAAACAAATGAAAAAAGTTCATATAAATTTATATCCGAAAATGTTTTATTGTACTACTTATAAAAAATAATCGAAAATTCCTCTTTTTGCAAGAATGCTTCCATCTATCGAATTAGTAATTTCCAAACTCTTTCAAATATTCCAACTGTATTGGAAATAATAGTAAATGCATTTTGAATGCAAAATTCATAAGTAGTTAGTTTACCTAGGAGGTCAATAGTTATTGAACATTATAATACGTTTACGATTCTTTACAATGAATCGTTAAACGAATTTTGACTATAAATCTATGAATGCTTATGTCTTTTCATTAAAGCATTTTCGGACATAAGTTTATATGAACTTTTTTTTATCTATTTGACTTTAGTAATACATAATATAAGTTTTGTCCCAATCTTTTTGGACATCCTATATACATATATAATATGTATAGCTAACGATATTATTAAACTTTTTTCTG